GTACATAGGGTTGTGAACAATCAGATACAAAGGAGATGGGGCTTCTACAAGACATTGATGCAGACAGGATAATTACCCCTGAAACAAACTTTTGAGAGATGATGTACAGTGACACCAGCCTGGTCTGTGCTTTAACAAGAGTGACCTGAGGTTACTGAGTGGATGTAGCTGTGGGGATTGAAGTGTGGTGTTTCTGCTGCTGAAATGCCCAGTGAGCTGAGTCAAACCAATTCCCCCAGGAAAGGGTCTTCACACTGTGAAAATCTTTGCTTTCTGATGGCTTTGTGTGGCTCTCCCTCCCTCCTTCCCTCTCTCCCTCAGTCTGCACACACACTGCATCCATCACCATGACAACTGTGGGCCCTCTGGATCCATGGCTGTCCCTGTCTGGATTTCTGTGGAGAGGAGCAGGCACACCTTGAGTGCCACTAGCAACAGCATGGGATGTTCAGGCACAGGACAGGATGATCTCTGGTCAAACACCTGCCACTTTTTATGAACTTACTGTAATTCTTCAAGACTTCTACCAGTTCTTTAATCCCTTCACGTTCCTGCCTTGGAGCCACTTATTAAGGGATCTTTGTGAGATCTCCTGTATGGAGCAAGGTCATGGAGGGATGATTTTCACAATACTGCTACAAAAAAAGACAGCAGACAAGGGATGCATTTCAAAGCACCTGAAAAAGCCACAGCTTTACTCATTAATTCAGTGTGTGTGTCTCAGCCTTGAGCTGGCTCCCTGACTCACTGCTGTTGCCCTCATCTGCACTTGGCTTTGGGGCTGGTTATAGGAGCTGACACCTCACAGGAGCTGCTCCAGCAGTGACACATCCACTGCCAGCACCTTTGGGAAGGTCCCCCTTTGGAAGGGACAAAGTTCACACTCACAGGAGTTACCTCTTGGTATGGAAAGGAGGCTGAGGTCGAGATCAGATGGAGAATCTGAAATTGCTGTTGTCTCCTCCATGCCTGCCTCATAAAGAACTGGAGTATTTCAGTCCCCATGGCTGGCTATTAGTTAACTTCTGCTTCATCTTTGCCAGCTCAGTAATTAATGTCATCTCTGTTGCCCCTTCTTCCCAAAATAAATGCACTAAAAAGAACTCAAGAACCTGGGACAAAATTTGTTCCACATGAAACAGTCTTTCACAATCTGATCCATAAAGGGAGTCCTGCACTTAATGTCTGTTACATTAATTAATTTAGAACATGATGTGAGACAGGAGAGTGGCTCTTTACCCCTTGAGATAAACTCTATACACAAGTAATTCAGCTTCTGATTAACTGTTTTGAAGATTGTGTCTGTTCCTGGGACAGGTATATGGACAAGCCTATGTGTAACTTCTCTAAAAAGGGTCAGGAACAAGAGAAATAGTTCATCCAATTTAAGATTTCAAAATAATACTCTCCTAATCTGCAGAGAGATGTCAGATTGCATGAGATGTTTTTCTATTCTTATTTATAAAAAATCAAAAAAAAAAGCTGGTTGAAGTTATTAGACATTAATAGAATTAAGTCTCCATGTAAACATTTGTAAATGTAAACACATTTTAACTATTCTGGTTTAATCTAAACCACTGTGGAAGTGGATTAAATCCAGCCACATGAAAAATATCCTAATATGGAAAAAATTGGTAATGAAAAATAACTATTGCTCTGTTAGTGGTAGAATTCACATATTGGGGTTTTTTTCAGTTCTTTGTCTGTGTAAGATCATTCTTTTCTTTAACTTGTACATATTCTACTGATCTCAAGTACTCCTGACCAAAACTGGATCCTTTCTGTGCTAGGGGTACATCTTCCTTGGTTGAGGGGAAAGAAGAGGGGCAAGTTCTCCATGGGTTGATATCCTTGAAGTAATTCAAGTAATTCCTTGAAGTAATTCAGTGGGAGAGTGAGGACCAAGAGCTCAATCTCCATCCAAAGTGCCATTATCCCACAGGGTCAGCTGGGATCTGAGGGTCTGCTTGGTTACGCATTTCAGAGTGAAAAAGAAAATAAAGCAGCCATGAACACATACAGGTTACATGAGAAAGCCAAGGGGGAGAGGCTCAGGGCTGGGCTCCACTGAGGTAGATGAGTCCTGAATTCTTGACTCTCAGCTAACCCCAGGACTTTGGAGTCCCTGGGCATTTCTGCACTAATTCAGCACTTGGCAGATCTGCTTCTTCAAAGGAGCTGCCCACAACCATTCCAGGCTGTAGCATTTTCTGTCCCAAGAGAAGAAAAGGAAATAATTCATTGAAGAGGTCTGTCAGCTTGAGTCCTGCAAGAAGCTGAGAGAACATGTTCTGAGGAGGTCACTGCAGGGCTTTGGGTGTGTGTCTTCTCCACTGCATGGGCATAAAGTAGGGCTAAAGCTCATGGCTGTGAGTGGTCAGCGGGTCCTTGGCCCCACACCGCCGGACCAGCTTTGCAGCGTGGATCTGATGGCATTTCCCACCTTGGGCACACATCCCTTTCAGCTTTTCCCAAAGTGTTTGCTCTGCTCTGAGCCTCAGCAGCACTCAGGCTCAGACCCTCCTGCCACTGGGCTCGACCCATCCGAGTGAAACCTGGGGCAAAATGCTTCACAGTCATTTCCTGGCTTTCATAAGGACACACTTCAGGAGTATGAGGTACAGGTGGTGTCAGATTAGAGAGGTTTTGGCTTTTCTTCTGCCAAACCCAGCAGCAGCAGCAGCAGTCACTGGTAATTATATTCTGTGCAGGGAGATAACATCTGTCTGGAGGAGGTTTGAACTGAGTCTAGAAGAGGGACAAAAGAACCAAGATTGGACTGGAGGAGAAAGGGAGGTGAGGGTAATTTTCAGTGAAGTGCAGGCTTCAGGAGAAGAATCAAAAACTGCTGCTGTGGTCTTTGTTGTTGTCATTTTGGTTATTATAAACATGCAGCAGGACAGAAGCTGTCAGAGTTGCCTTGTGCCTTTCCCAATGGCACATCCAGTGCCACACTGGCCAGGGAAGCTCCACGGGCTTGTACCAGGCTGCTGGCAGCTGCCTCCCTTCCAGCATCCCCCACTGCCTCTGCACAGCAGCTGCCAGGCACAGGCTGGCTGCAGGAGAGCAGGGTGCTCAAGCTGTGAAACAGATTCGTGGCCAGAAAGCCGGGGAAACAGAAACATGGAATGGTTTGGGTTGGAAGGGACCTTAAAGATCATCCATTTCCAACCCTGCTACGGGCAGGGACATCTTCCACTTTCTCAGATTCACAGAGCCCCATCCAGCCTGGTCTGGAACACTGCCAGGGTTGGGGCAGACATGGTTTCCCTGATCAGCCTGTGCCAGGGCCTCAGCACCCTCACAGTGAAGGATTTCTTCCTAGTCCAGCCGAACCTACTCTCATTTTAAAGCCACTCCCCCTTTGTCCTGTCACTACACAACCTTTTAAAGCAATGGGTAGAGGATGTAACCCCAGCACAGATGTTTTCAGGGGCTCAGCACAAGGCAGAGCAGCCACACAGGGACACCAGCAGAGGAACCAGCCATGTCCCCTGAGACACACCTTGGGGACACATCCTTGCAGCTGGTGTCTTTCACTACTGCATCTTCTGCCAGAGGTGCTGCGCTGCCCTCTGGGGAAAGAGAGGCACAAACAAAACATCACACACAACCCAACTTCCACATCTGCCTTTAGAGAGCGTGGCTTCAATTAAATGTAATCACTCAATTTTGAATCAAGGGCAACTTCTCTTGCCATTGTTTGCCCTCCCCACAGGCCCAAGAGAGAGAGAGTAGCTCCATGAGGGCAGCTGCTAATGAAGGGGATGATTCCAAATGAGGGAATGTGTCACTGCATCTAGGTCAGAGGAGTCAGATGGAAGCAACTTCCATGGTTGTCCCTTGGTTTTATTTCTGTTTTTTTAACTGGCCTTCTAATAAATTAACCAAATTATTATAAGCAGCTGCATCTATCAGCAGCAGGCAAGGATATATCCACTGAAAGCTCTCTAATGAAGCTTTGAAGTCCAGCTCATCCCAGATTCATGCAGTGAAGGATCTGTAGCCATTGTGGCATCTCTCTCCTGACTTCTGAAGCTGTGAGACTTGAAAGGAAATAGATACTCAAATATGGATACTCAAGTTGATATTTCAAGGGCTTTGTTTTCCTTTTCTTACCACACTGTCCCTTGCAGCCCATGTTTGTGTTTAATCATAGACTGCTTCTCATAGTGTTGTCAAGCAGAGAACCAGTTTCCCCACTCTGCCTCAGTCCCACACTCAACAAAACTGGATGAACATAAAAAAAATAAAAAAAAATCATATGAGTAACATGTAGAAAATCAACAAAAACGTTTTGCTCTCTGAATCCTCTCCCAGCTTGAGGCTCAAATTCCTTTTTCTGTAGCAGTCTGAGACATGCTGCTGGGTGAAATAGCATTAAATGGCATGGCATGATGAGGTGGTGGATACTGCTGGGTCTTAGAGCCGCACACAGCCCTGTTACGCTGCTTCTCCGTGCTGCTCCCTGTTCACCTACACATATAAGACATACTAATTCTGCATTAAACACCTGTAAAGTGAGTGAAGCCACACATGTGGCCCATGGGGAACCTAATTGCCCCCTCCAACACCCCTAAAATACCCTAACCCTAACAGCAAAACCAACAAGTACTGAGCAGGTTGGGATTTTCCAGCCACTGGAAGGGTGTGTACATTGAATTTATTTTGCAGCTGTGTAGTCCCTGCTGAATTACTGTTTCCTTTTGATCTGTATTAAAGATAGTGACAGAGCAGGTATGAGTGTGAGTAATGGGTAGGTTGGCATCTCAGTATTTGGGTTCTTTGTCAACTGCTTTCTTCTCTTTGTTCAGTTTCTTTACTTCTGTTGGTGTCGGGATATTTTTAGTTCTTCAAAAAAAAAATTAAGATGGAAAGGAAGATCAGAAATAAGGATTAAGAGAGAAATGCTGTTCTCAAGACTGTTTACCCATCTCAAATTAATATTTTCATGCAATGTCCTTTGGGTCCTGACTCTGTTGTGGATTTATTCCCCACAGATCATCTTTAGGAAGATCAGCGATGTCAAGAAGGAGGAAGAGGAGCGCCTGCGCCAGAAGAACGAGGTGACGCTGAGCATCCCTGTGGACCACCCTGTGCGGAAACTCTTCCAGAAATTCAAGCAGCAGAAGGAGATGCGCAATCAAGGCTCCACCCACATCGATCCGGAGCGGAACCAGCTGCAGGTGGAAAGCAGGAGCGTGCAGAACGGGGCCTCCATCACGGGCACCAGCGTGGTCACCGTGTCCCAGATCACGCCCATCCAGACCACCCTGGCGTACATGAAGACCAGCGAGGCCGTGAAGCAGAACAACCGCGACGCGATGGAGCTGAAGCCAAACGGAAACGGAGACCAGAAATGTCTCAAAGTGAACAGCCCCATGAGGATGAAAAACGGGAACGGGAAAGGCTGGCTTCGGCTGAAGAACACGATGGGGGCCCACGAGGAGAAGAAGGAGGACTGGAACAACGTCACCAAGGCTGAGTCCATGGGGTTGCTGTCCGACGACCCCAAGTCCAATGACTCGGAGAACGGTGTAAATAAAAACCCACTGAGGAAAACAGATTCTTGTGACAGTGGAATAACAAAAAGTGACCTTCGCTTGGATAAAGCTGGTGAGACTCGCAGCCCCCTGGAGCACAGCCCCATCCAGGCGGATGCTAGGTGTCCTTTCTACCCCATTCCTGAGCAGGCCTTACAAACCACGCTGCAGGAAGTCAAGCACGAACTCAAAGAAGATATCCAGCTGCTAAGCAGCAGGATGGCTGCCCTTGAGAAGCAGGTGGCAGAAATTTTAAAAATATTGTCTGAAAAGAACGTATCCCAGCTCTCTTCCCCCAAGTCTCATTTATCACCCCAGTCCCCTCCCCAGATATCCTGTCAGGATATTTTTAGTGTTTCAAGGCCTGCATCACCTGAATCTGAAAAAGATGAAATCCACTTTTAGCCTATACCTATGTGTATATATGTATACAGTATATATGCAGAGTTGTATATATACCTTTATACATATATATATATATGTGTGTGTATACGGTAAATATATATACATATATATTTTCACTTGCATCCAATATGACTTGAACACACCAAGGATTTTGATATGTAAATATTGCATGTCCAGCTGGATTCTGGCCTGCCAAAGAAAGCAATTATTAACATAGATATTGCTTGTATAATATGCAGTTGACTGCATGCACACTTTACATTTATTTATAATCTCTATTATGTAATAAAAGAATGACTTTTGTTTAACAAAGGCAATGTACTATTTAAAGAATCAGGGTCTTACCTGCCAATATTGCCATGACAGTTTTGATCTCAGGCTGGGTGAATTGAGCTTTTATTTCCTCACTGTCTTTTCTGCCGAGTTAAACAGTAGATTAATACGACGTGAAGGACACGTTCAGACTCCTGTTAGTATTGTTTCCTGGTATCATTCCATGACAATATACTGTATATTTGGTGATGAATTCCCCTACTCATCCTAAAGGGAGGGCTCAGCTCAGTGGGCAGGGAAGGGCACCGTGCCTGGTGCTAGGGTGGATCACTGGAATTTATTTGTGTGGGTATTGTGCATGCACAGCCTTTTATTTCAAGTATCCTCCTGCTCTTTTAACATCATAAGTAAGAAATAATAATAATAATAATATTACTAAGAATAATAATAATGGTGATTTATGTAACAACATGAAACTAACAGAAACTCTCTCAGTTGCACTCCCTGAGTGTTTGGGGCTAACTTCTTTCTTGAAAGCCTCCTTTTACTGATGCCATTTTTACTGAACTGTTAGAGTAACATTATGTAGATTCTCTTTGCAGCACTCAGTGGTGGTGTCCAGTTCTGTCAGTATCTTCATTAGCATGTCTCATTTTTGTGGGGTTGAGGTTGCTCTCTCACTGTCCCCTTTACTGCCCCTGGCAGAAAGACTTTGCACGAGGTCTGAGCAAGGGAGAGAACACTCATAGTTCAGCTTCTTGGGAGCCACGTGAGCAGGTTCGAAAGCCTGAAGTTAAAAGGCTGTGGTTAATCCCCCTCCACTCTCTTTCTTGAGGACATTTATCAGTTTGCCTTTAGAAAGAGAGAAAGTATATGGTCAGGATGTAATTCTCTTTAGTCCAAGGTGCTTGGATGATAAGGTGTGTGTGGAGAGTGGTGGGTGTTCTGGGGGGATGGAGCCCTGCCTGGAGTGCCTTGGGCTCGTGGAAGGTGTCAGTGTGTGGAGGGGGCACGTTTCAAGAGCAGGCTTGGAGTGCCCACACAGCCAGGTCCCACATGTACTGAGTGCCTCAGGTCTGTGCCAGAGGCTCTGCCCCTCCTCTTACCTGGCTCCTGTCGGCATCTCCCAGCCTTGGGCCATGCTCAGACCCCCTCTCACCTCCTGGCTGGAGCTGCTGGCTTTGCAGGGCTGCAGCAGGGCAGGCTTTGCTGATCTGTTTGGAGCTGGGATTTTGGACTCTGCCTGGGTCTGCCCCTGAGTGTGGTGGGCGTTTTTGCCTCTCACTTTGCTCTGGTTTGAAACCAGGTACACAAGATGCATAGCAGAAATTGCCATTGCAGCTTCAGAGATGTTAACTGGTGTGGCTTGAGGCCAGCCCAGCAGGACACAGAGGCTCCTTCAGGGCAGGATTCCCCCTACCTAAAGCTTAAATGACCTCTTCTATCAAGATCCTGTGCTTTCAAAAGTGCCTGGAGTAAAAGATGTATGTACCATAAGGCATTGCTGTCAATCAGGTATATCAAATACATGGTTATAATCAGTGAGCATTCTGTACACACACCAGTATTAGATCCAATTTGTAACATTAGAAAACCAGACTGAACTAAATCACTTCCTGAAAAACTAACAAAATCCCTAAAGCCCAAACACACCATCATTTGCAGTAGTGACAATTAGGAATCTACATCTTAGGGTAAACATATCTTCAACTCTGAAATCCAAGCCCATAAAGCTCCAAAAGCTCATAAGGAAGCCAAAGAAGTCATTGCTTCTGTTGTGTCAGCTCATGGAGGCTTTTTGGGCGATGAGTTTTTTCTGTCCTGTTTCTGCCCCTTTAGGAAATTAGAGATACTTTTAAAAAAATAAATAAATAAAAGGGAAGAACCAAAAGTCACAGTAAGAGCTCTTCCCAAAGTCTAGTGATCAAGCCACCCTCTCACTTTAGTTCTCTGCAGCTGCTCTGTCAGAATTTTCAGCTGTATTTTGCTGCTGGTGTTCTGACACAAGTGCAAATCCATGACTCTTGCAGCCATGGTTTGGACTGGAAGAGCAACCTGCACCTTCAGAGCAACAGGACCTCCCCTTCCTGTGGTAAATCCCACCTTGGGACTCTGGAAGAATGCTGGGGGGTTATGGGGTTAGGGACTTGCAGGGTTGCTGCAGGAGTCTGCACAGACCTTGTGGGTACAGTTCAAGTGCCAAGATTTCAAGTGTTGAATGTTCTTGCCTGACTTGGTCTGGTTAAGACAGACACATGGCCACTGCCCAGGGCTGCCTGGTGAATAGCTGAGTCACACAGGCTCAGTCTGGGGGCCAGACTTTGTTAAAATTCCTGGAATTCAGGAATTCATGAACCTGCCATGAAGTGATGCTGCAAAAGAGACAGCAGGATAAGGGGGGGTTGGCTTTGTTAGAAAGCTTTAGCCTTAATGGCATTGCTCTGCCTTTGTGACAGGCTGCTTTTCTTTCTCTATAACTGATATTAATTCTAGCTAGAACTGCATGGCATGCAAAGGGATCTCTGTTTAGGTTTATCTTGCAAGTCAGGTGTAACTTTGTGCCACTTTACAATGAGAGAATGTGTTAACAGGATTAGCTTGACCTTGAAAATCATTTGGGCGGGCCCAGAATGTCTATTACAGTTCAAGTGCAGCTTGAGTGGTTCAAATGTGTAGTGGCTAAATAGTGTAAAATACCAAGTTCATGAAATAAATACAGTCTCTCGGGGTCTATTTCTAGTGCTATTTTGACTCTGATATTCCAGCACTGTCCATTGCAAGTTCAGTGGAACCAGCTTGTACAAAGCAGTGACGTGATGGGTGCCCTGCAGGCCCCATCAGCACCATCAGCCTGTGCATGGGCTGTCCCAGGCTCTGTGTGCCAGGGGAGGCCCAGTTTGTGGGGTTGACTCTGGCAGGTGCAATTCTGAAGGACTTTGTCTCCAAAATCCGCGCTGGGAGCGTTACGTGTTGTTTCATGGGTTCGTCTCCCGTCCCCTCGCGTTGTGCATGATGTGATGAGTGACTGGGGCTTTCCTTCTCCGTTCAAAAGCGTGAGTCACAGTCCTGTAGCTCAGGCTGGACTGAAAACAACCACCTGTAGTCAGCAAGTGCAATAAGGACACCAAGGGCCACTTCCACCCAGGCCAGTGCTCAAGCAGCGACACACCAAGCAAAGGGAGCTCTCAGCTGCATGCTTTCCCTTCCTTTCCTTTCCTGTAAGAGCTCAAAACCTGTACAGATGTTCCTGCCAGATGCTGGGAACAGCATCCTTAGCACCTACCCTGTGCTTTGTGTGTCCGAAGCATTTTACCTGCACATGAGTGGATTTTATCTTTCTGGACTTTGGAATAGAAATAAAACGTGTACAGAAAATGTGTACAGAAAACACTTTCCAAAGCAAACGAACTAGAGTACTTTTAATAGCTTTTTCTGTGTGATGTTGCATATAAGAGATAGAACAGCACTTCAGGATAATTACCGAAAAAAAAAAAATTGTTGTAGTGAGGATTCAGTTCTTCTGAATTTGTATTTGTAAATCCTTTTTTTTCTGTCTTTGCCAGGGCACGGGGGTTAGAGCAGAGCTGATTCTGGAAGTGACAGATTTAAGCTTTGTCCATTTTTCTTTTCCCTGTTCTGCAGAAGTAGCACAACTAAAGGGGCTCGGTGCTGCACCAGAGTTTGGGGTCATTGCTAGACTCAAGTTCGGCCTTCATTTACCACCTCACAGAGAGTAACTCTGTTGCACAGGTGTGAAGTTTGAATCTGATGATCAGTTGGACTTTAATAAGTATTTTGAATCCCAGGACAGTTTAAAAGGACTGGAAGCTGCAGTTGTACTCTTTGCAAAGCCAAGAGCAGTTGTTCTGGAGGTAACTGAGACCATTCCACAGACATCTCAGAAAACAGATGTGATCATGAAATAGCTTTGAGGATTTTGGAGGAAAAAGATGTCCTGAACTGGAAGAGAAAATAAAAAAATAGCCAAAGTTTTAATGCAGAATTTGCAAGTGAGGATATAGAGGGATATATTGTGAGAAATTTACAGTTTTTTACTTGGATTTTGGGCATTTAGAAAATCCAGGCCTATCTTTTTGGATGTCAGAATTGGACAGATTGTTTCTTAAATATTAAATAATAACATTATTAAATAATATTTAATGAATTGTAATAATAAAATTATTAAATAATATTATTAAAATTAATATTTTTCCCTAAGTGAGGTGGTGTCAAAGTGATACCTGTTTTATTTTTTTTTAAAATATGCTTTCAAATGCCATTTTCCTGCAGAGGAGGGTTTGAATGGTTTTTGTTAACATTGTTCTTAATAAGCTGTAAGAGGAAAAGTTTGTTCCATCTAGATTTGCACATCTGGGAATATTTTTTGTAACTCTTCCTTAATTTTTTTGGTGCAAGTGGATAACACCATCTCTACATGTTTTATTTTGTTTAATGTGCAATTGTGCATTTCCAAATGAAATATGTTCTTAAAGCAAATTGCTGAATGGAGTTAAAGTTGACAAAAAGTCCACATTTCTTCTGGCAGAGAAGCAATGAATGCTCTTACTGACATAAAGAATATGTGCAAAGATCAGTGCTGTGATATCTAACAAATGACAAACAAACTAAAATCATCTTTACTGAGGCTGCATTTAGTCAGGCTGAAAATTGACCTTATAGTGCACAGGGGGCCAAGAAGGCACATATTGATTTTGTATACCCAAGTGGCAGAAGCATTCCAAAAGGTCTTGACCAGGCCATGCTGAATAAATTGTATTTATTTTTTATATTATGTTAATCAGCCCCCCGATGCATGGCACGTGGAACCACGAATCTTCAGCAGTATTCTCACAAACCTTTTTATCTGTTTTCTATAAAGCAGATAAGTTCTTTTCTTAGTTATTTTCTTCTTGGGGATGCAAGCTTTCTTGGCCCAGAGTCTGAGACTACTGGTGTGCACCAGCTCTGTGTCTGGCAGCCTGCCATGAATACATCAATTAGCCTTAATTAAAAGCCCTATAAAAAGGATTTTGTACTAGGCTGGGTTCAGGCCTCACTGCTCCAGGACAGGATGAGGCTGGCAGACTTTTCCAGGGGTGACAGCTGTGGGACAGGGAAAGTCCATTAAAGGATACTCAAATATATGCTATTAAGGGGAAATGAGAGGAGAGGCAAAGCTCTTCCAGTGTCCCAAAAACCTGTTGGAAAGGGGCATATAGTATCTAAATTATGTAGCATCAGTGTATGGACTCTGTGTTTGCAGCTGGCCCTGCTATGAACAAGAGGGGGTTGGACCAAGTGGTTTCCAGAAAATCCCAAGTTTTGTTTTATCATTTGGTGATTCTGTGGATTTTAATGGCACAAACAGGAGGTAAAATTTGAAGATTCTTAGTTATGTCCTATTTTTTTCTGGTTTTCAGTTTAAATACCATGCTGAGGAACATGATGCCAATTTTCAAGATAACAGCTGTGAGAGCCAATACTCATCAAACAGACAGCAGAGAAATCTGGCATATTCTAAAACTATGGCATATAAATAAATTAAGCATCAGCTAAAATCCACACTTGGTGCCAAACACTGAGAATAATGTCTCGGTGACTATGCAGTTTCTGGAAGCAGTGGGCTGATATAGATACATCAACACACACCCTCTTCCAGCCTCTTCCCCAGTCCAGTGAAAGGTGATTACAGTGTCTGAAAATGCCATCAAAACCTCGATAGCATTTGAGCTGGTTTTCAGTGCTGCCCGGGCAGATGTGCACATCCAAGGCTGTAGGAAATGTGTAGGTTTCCCATTAGTGGCTGGATCTGGAGGTGATTCTCATCCCTCTGGATTCTCATCCCTCTGGACTCTGCCTGCTCCTCTCGCAGTCAGTGTGTGGACACCACTGAGGAAAGGGCCTGGGCTTGTCCAAAGGGTCTGGGCACATCCATGGGGTCTGTGCACATTCCCAGGATCTGCCCAAGCCTCATTCCCAGGCTTATTCCCTACTTGTCTAGGCACATGCAAAGGTTCACACCTGGCTCTATTATTAGACATTTTTCCAGACTCTGTAACCGCCTTGGTCTATGATGGCTCACAGGGTTACTCACAAAATCCTTTCCAATCTGTGGCTTAGCAACAAGTCTCCAAATTAAACAGGAATAACAGGGCAAGCCTTTTGCCATTCTCAGGCCATTATTTTATTAAACAAACCTTCAATTTTATTTTATTTTATTTTATTTTATTTTATTTATTTTATTTTATTTTATTTTATTTTATTTTATTTTATTTTATTTTATTTTATTTTATTTTATTTTATTTTACTTTATTTTACTTTATTTTATATTTTTTATATTTTATTATATTATATTATATTATATTATATTATATTAATTCTAATTATTTAATTTTATTTTATATTTTATTTTGTATTTTTAATATTTTAATATATTTTATTTTACTTTTTATTTTATATATTTTATTTTATTTTATTTTATATTTTATTTTATATTTTTATATTATATTTTATTTTATTTATTTTATTTAAATTTATATTTTATTTTATTTTATTATATTTTAATATTTATTTTTTTATTTTATATATTTTATTTTGGTTTATTTTATTTTATTTTATTTTATTTTATTTTATTTTATTTTATTTTATTTTATTATTTTATTTTATTTGTGGTCCTTTTGTACACTCTGGAGCAGCAGAGTGTTCCACAGAATGGCAGGGACTGGGGTGTCTGTGGGTTTTAATGAGCCCCTTGGAGAAGTGGAACTCGAGTGAGACACCAGCTTCTGCCATGTGTGTGACCATTCTACCCCAGTTACACTTTGGGTGTACTTCACCCCCAGCAGCAATTTGAACCAGTGCCATGTAGTGATAGTAAAAGTTCCTCAGGCAAACCTGGAGCTCTGCTCAGCTTCTCCATGTGTCCTATGCCAAGATATGTGGGCTCTTTCCTGTCCTGGGCTTGTTTTCAGTAGAATTTTCCATGTTCCACCTCTTTTCTCTGTCACCACTTTTATTTCCTAGAAAAAGGGGAGGAAAAAAAAGTACTTTCTGACTAATCATTGGGAATTCACTTGCATCCAAGGCTGCTGCCAGGACCATTAGTTGGAGGTCACAGTTCAGTTTGTAAATTGGGTGTCTTATCTGAGCTCTCATGGAAAAAGGCGGTTATTTTTTTTTTTCTAAAGGAAAACAAAATTTCTGCTCTGCTTCTAATTAGTCTCCTGTTGTCCCTGCAGGATTAATTACTGCCTTCTTCACTCGAATCATCAAATGCTATTTGGCAACAGCTTCTTTTTTTTTTTTTAATTTTATTTTAGGTATAATTAGGAGACCTGGCATTACAAACAAGCTCAGTCAGGTTTTACCTTAAAATTACAGAGCTGAAATGTCACCTCAACTAGTAGTTTATACCCAGCTTTTGAATACCAGCAACCCCATTGCACATGTTCAGAGCTCATCCCTTTGAGGTCATCAGTGGGTCAGTGTGAACATCCTTCTCCTGAAATCAGTCACAGAAGCCTTTTATTCTGCAGGGTCCTCCCACAGTGGGACTTTTAGAAAAGGATTATGGGTGCAAGGATGCAATGGCACCTCCCAGCTCTTCCTACTGCCTGTTGATGGTCTGTAGATTCCCAGACACATCTCTTTTTGATTTAAAGGAAGGGCTGAGGGCCACCAGCTGCCTAATTCTATCAAGTGGTAAATTGAATTTATTGGGTGAGAGAGGCA